TATATATATATATATATATATATAGATATATATATATATTAACATTAACCTTTTTAAATTTTATAAATTTTATATACAGACTTGATAAAAACTATATTATACATACAAGCAAATGAACTTATATATCCATATACACACACACGCACACTAACACGCGCACAAGCACACACACACTCACACACACACACATTATGAAATCTACCGAAATTTCTAGCGTAGGATAGTATTTTATTGCATTTCTCAATACTTCTAAGAAAATTCTCGTCATAATTTATGTTACTGAAGTTAGAATAATGTACAGCCTCCCTAGTTCATCTCAGAGTGCATAGTACCAATTTCAATTTTTCAATCATTTTTAGCACTTGTTGAAGTTCATCTATAAAATTTGTATAATTTTCACCAATAATTGCATTTCTGAAAGACATAATCCAGCATAATCTCTCTCTCTCTTCCTCTCTCTTCCTCTCTCTCTCTCTCTCTCTCTATATATATATATATATATATAGAAAGAGAGAAGAGAGAGAGAGAGAGGAAAAAAAAAGAGCAGACGTAATTAGAACATGATTAGGTTTAGCAAGGTTGTGACACGATTAATTAAATGGCGACTCCGACTAATATTTGATTTGTCTTGCTGTGGTGTGGTGTGTTTGGAGTGGTGGCCAGTCTATCAGTCTATTTATCCGTGCTAGACGTCATGATGGTGATGATTGTGTTGGAGGTGGTACTACTACTGCGGCTGCTGCTTCTACTACTACTACTACTACTACTACTACTACTACTACTACTACTACTACTACTACTACTACTACTACTACTAGTAGTAGTTCTGCTACTTCTACTCGTAGCGGTTACGATAATTTTAATATATACGCATAAATAGTTACTCAAAATTCTTCTTTGCTATCCAGGATATGTTTGTTTAAACAGAAATTATGTTGTTTTTAATCTGTGATAACATTCAAAATAAATGAATGAACGATCGAACAAACAAACGAATAAACGAATGAATGAACAAATGAATGAATGAATAACTGTTCGAATGAATGGATGAATGAATTATGGAAAGGCTGAACGATTGAATGAAGGAAAAGTAAAAATGAATGAATAAAACAAATGAAATTTTAGCTTGATGTTTAAGTAAATAAACAAGAGCTAATGTGTGAACGAACGAATGAACGAACTAATGAACGAACGAACGAAAAAATGAATGAATAAACTAAAAGTGAATTCAAATATTGAATGAATGAAAGAACTGACGAAAAACGAATGAAGAAATGATATAGAAAAGTTAATTAGTTAATATCTCCAGATGGAACTTGGCTCAACTCCCAACGTTAACCGTTAAAAACGTTATTTTGAAGGAATTTTCAATGAATTTTTCAGCTATTAATAATAATTAATATTTATTTTGTAATTAATATTTTATTTTGTTTTTATTAGAAATAATGGTTATATAAATTCAATTATTGGTCGAATATTTTCCTTATCAAATAAAAAAATGATTTCATTATCAAATAAAAAAAATGATTTGTAGTTCAATGGAGTTTCTTTAAATTAAACCCTTCAACAATAAATCACTTTTATGTTCATTCGTTCATACGTTCATTCATTCGTCTGTTCGTTCGTTCGTTCGTTCGTGCATTAATTCATCATTCATTCATTCTTTTACTCCCTCATTCATTCATCCAATCAGTCATCCATCATCACTCTATCATTCACAATTGAATTGCATGACATTATACCACTCGCATCAGTACGTTCTTACATATCTGCATGCATACATACATACATATGCATACACACACACATATGCATACATACACACATACATACATACACATACCGACCAATGCTAAAGACCTCAAGCTAACCAACAAACAAAGTCACGTTATTATCATCTTGTAGTTATTTGATTGACCATAGTGTAGTTAACATGATTGATTGCTATGTAGTTGCTTGATTGGTTGCTGATAAAACGAATAAATAAACGCAGACGCAAAGTCGCACACACATGCTGCATGTTGTTTCTATTTGCACCTACTTACAAACATACTTACATAAAGACAAACAAAGATTACACACCCACAATGATACAAAGACACACACACACACAAACAAACAAACACACGCACAGACACATACACACACACATACATACATACAAACATACATCTACAATCTACCTACATGCATGTTTTTGTACTTCGCGTGTACGGCAAAGTGACATCTCTTACAGGAATGGTTTGGATCTAAATTTTTAATTTCTTCTCGAGAAATTTTCCATTAGGATGTTGAACGAGTTATTGATATGAGCATTATTGAGTATTATTTGTATACTTTATATATATATATATATATATATATATATATATATAGAGAGAGAGAGAGAGAGAGAGAGAGAAAGAGAGAGAAATAGAGAAGAGAGAGAGAGAGAGAGAAGAGAGAGAGAGAGAAAGAGAGAGAGCTGTATCTATCTTTATCTGTATTTTTATATATCTATGTATCCACCCACCAAAAAATGACACACACTCATACACATACACATATATGAATATACACATACATTACATATAAAATTATAAATATATAACTTTTTTACTTTAATTTTCTCTCTCTCTCTCTCATTGTCTCTCTCTCTTTATCTCTCCATATATATTTCTTCTATCCATTCATCTATCCACACATTTATATATCCAAAATACTCATCTGTGATATTTATCTGAAATGTTATCCATCTATTCTTATATAATTACATATAAATTTATCCATACATTACCTCATATATATATATATACTATATGTATATATATAAACTATATATATACATATTATATATATATATATATATATATATATATATATATACACGTATACATTGCACAATGTGTTGATTGATGCTTCAATTGATTTTTCCTCCCCATAGCAAAGACAAGAGAGTTTTCGGTTTGGAAATGGTTTAGTAAAATAAATTAATAAATTATTGTTTGTTTAGTATTTCAGTATTGATAATAATAATTATTATTATCATCATAATTGCTATAATAGTATAAATAATAATATTATTATTATTTAAAATAATAATAGGAATAATTATAAAGAGAAAGGGCACTAGTTAGTAAAATTGGTGCTAATACTACAACTATTGTCACAAGTATTGTAGTAACCGTGCCAAAACTGCTACTACTACTACCTCATATACAAAAACAACTACTTCTACTTTACCACCATCGCTACTACTACTATTACTGCTACTACTACTACTAATATTATTACTACTATTACTATTACTACTACTATAACTACTACTGCAGCTGCTACTACTACTACTACTACTGCAACTGCTGCTGTTGCTGCAGCTGCTACTACTACAAAGTAGACAAATCGCAAGTACAATTACTTTTAACTGTATTCTTATTATCGTCTTTATAATAATAATAATAATTATAGTTATTATTATTATTACTATCATTATCGTAACTACAATTTGCAAATTTGTCCTTTGACGGCATTTTGTATTTATACTAGAAGATAAGAAGTGTTAAAATCACTTGTTATTTTAATAATTATCATCTTAAATTTGATTTAATAATAACAATAATAATAATAATAACAATAACTACAACAATAACTACAACAAGAGTTATTATTATTATTTTAAAGCTAGTTATAAACGTCTGGCTTAAGTATATGGCTCATTATATCATTGATTTATGGTTGATTTGAACGTATTAAATAAAAATATTAAGTTAATTATTGGATTAATTATATTCAACTGGAGAGATAATTTAACACCACCATCATCATCAACAACAACATCAGCAGCAACAACAACGACATCAATAGCAGCAAACACAGCAACAACAACAACGTAACATCTTCATCATCAAGAATATATTCAAAATGTATCGACCATCGTGTGAAATGGAATGGGCGAACTTGAAGCCCTTACAAATGGCCAGTGGAATGGTGGTCAGTTATTCTAATTTCATTCATTCTTTCATTCAGTCGTTCGTTCGTTCGTTTGTTTGTTCGTTCGTTAGTTCATTAGTCCGTTCGTATGTTCATTTGTTTGTTTATTCGTTCGTTCATCTTTTTGTCTATCCATCATACAATGTTTATTAACAAATCCAGCTTTCAAATTATTCACGAATCTCTCAAACGTTCATTCGTTCATTCATTCATCCATTCACCTATCCATCAATTCATTTATCAATCCATTCATCTATTCATTCATCCATTTCATCTTATTAATTCGTCAAAACCGCGCTTGCACAACATCAATATGAATGGATGAATGAATGATTGATTGATTGAGTGAATGAGAGTGAGTGAGTGAGAGTGAGTGAGTGAGAGAGTGAGTGAGTGTGTGAGTGAGTGAGTAAGTGAATGAACACAATTTTTTGTTACACGTAATTTATATGCATTTTTATCTTGCCAGTTGATGTTATCACGTTACCAGGGCCATCTGTGGTGATAATTTTTTGTGTTTTTATATATTTATTCTGTAGTAAAAATTTTAAGCTTAATTTGTTTAATGTTTGTTTGTTTGTTTGGGTGTGTGTGTGTGGACATGATTGTATGTATGTTTGTACGTGTTTTTGTTTGTGCTGATGATTGTATGTATGCAGGTTTGTTTGTTTGTATGTATGTACATGGTATACATTTGTAGGTTTTTGCATGTTTATTTGTTTATGTATTTTTCTTTAATATGTGAGTATGCGTGTATGAATGTTTGTGTATGTGTTGGTACGTTGTATGTTTGTTTACCATCCATATATCTTTTAGTGTATTTACTTAGTCACGTGTTCATGCATTCATTCATCCATTCGTTTGTTCATTCATTCATTCGTTTGTTTTCTCAATCATTAATTCAATATTTAATAACAATATCAACACTTAATAATAAGATTCGAGTACATACCATTTAACGGCCATTCATATGAAACTTCATTCAATCCTATCAAAACATTAAGTTTCGTCTTTTACTATCTAGCTATCATCATTTTCATTCTTCCATTCATTTTTTTACTCGTTCATGCATTCATTTATTCATTTGTTTATTTATTTATTCACTCAATCATCCATCCATTTATCCATCCAGCTATTCATTTTTACATCCATTCGTTCGTTCGTTCATTCGTTCGCTCGTGCCCCTTTTCGTCCGTCATACTATCCACCATTCATCCATTCATTCATCCATCCATTCATCCATCCATCCATTCATTCATTCACTTACTCATCCATTCATTCATTCGTCCATCAGGAAGAATTCCATCCATTCATCGAAGCACTCATGCCTCACGTGAAGGCATTCTCTTACGTTTGGTTCAATCTCCAGGTCGGCTAATATAATTTAATTATAATTATATAATAATAATATAATAAAATATAATATAATATAACATAATAATGATACTCTGTTTGCGATGTTGGGTTACCAAATTGCAATAGCTCAACTTGTGTGTGATGATAATGATAATAATCAGAGATCTTCTTGATTTCGTACCCGAACACTGCAGCATAAGGCAGGAAAAAGCGTCCAAATCATATTTTTACCGTATCCGTTTCGTATCGTCTCGTGTCAAATCATGTATCATCGTATCATATAGCAATATATCAATCATAATCTACATCACTTGGTATCGAATCATCTCGTCTCGGTATCGTTTTGAATCACACTCAACACTTTATAAGAAGATTCGAGTACATACTATTCATCAGCCATACACATAATGCCGTATATAGATGCACACGAATCATCTCGTTTCGTTTCATATATCGTTTCGTTTGATGTATCGTCTCGTTTCATATATCGTCCCGTTTTGTATCTTGTCAGGCCGCTAAGAGAAAATATTATAAAAAACATGAAAAGAGAATGCCTGTAGAAGAAGAGAGGCGAGTAAAAGAGGATTTACAGGTAACTATTATTATTTTTATTATTATTACTATTAATATGACATCGGTTATAATTGACAAAACAACATCGTCGTCGTCATCATCATCATCATCGTCTTCACCATCATCATCACCATCGTCTTCATCATCGTCACCACCATCATCATCTTCGTCATCATCATCATCGCTACATTCATATTACGTCGTTGCATTATTAATACTTCATCGTGCGTCATCACATCATCACTATCAACTACACACACACACACACACACACACACACACACACGCACACACACACACTTATTTTTCGTTTATACTTTCAACAACTTTTCTTCTTGCTTAAATACTGTAACAGTGTAGGGTGAAATTTGTTGACAGATAGACATAGACACAAATAAAATCTTTTTTTTTATCTCTTTTTTTCTATTTTCCCTTCTCTCTATCCCTCTTTCTCTCTCTCACTCCTTTTCTCTCTTGTTCTGCTTCTTTTTCTTCTTCTTACATTTGTGCTTATCTGTCGCTTCATCTTTTATCTTCCATTTTATTCTTCTCTTTCTCTCTCTCTCTCTCTCTCTCTTCCTGCTTTTTCCCTTCTTATAAACAATAATAATATTATTATAATTTATAATTAATTCCCATATTTCATTGCTATTAATCAATGATAATATTATTATTAATATAATTAATTTGCATAATTTATAATAATAAATTCTTATAATTCTGAGCAGCTGGAGCAGATGGACGTAAAGCAGAAATGGGCCAGTAGATTGCTGGCCAAACTGAGGAAAGACATCTCGCAGGAGTACCGCGAGGAATTTGTCATGTGTATGACTCGAAAACGCGCGCAGGTAAGATGTGGCAAACTTACATACCGTTGTTGTTGTGTTGTTGTTTGTTGTTGTTGTGTGTGTCTGTGCTGTGTGTGTCTGTGTGTGTGTCTGTGTGTGTGTGTGATGCATTGATTCATTATTCACTGTGTGTTTGTTGCTGATGCCTCTGAGAAGAGTTAAAAAGAAAATGAAAAAAAAACACACACACACATACACTCCCAAACATACATAAATACATACACACATATATACAAATATACAAAAATGCATACACACACACATACACACACACACACACACGATACAAACAAACATACACAGGTATGCATTTTAAGTAACCCTGATCAAAAAGGTAAGATGAGAAGAATCGACTGCTTAAGACAGGCTGATAAGGTTGATACTTTAATTGATTTATTTGGTCAAGTTGGCTGATTGATTTGATTGTTTGATTAACTGATTGATTAATTTGAATAATTTATTAACCGATTGATTGGTTTGATTCGGCTGATTGATTGATGATTTAATTTTACTGATTCATTGATAGCATTCTGTTGTATATACATACACAGTAGAATTATTTAACTGGATAGTATCTATCTACCTCCACACTCGTCAACAAACAATCCCTCAGGTATGGCGACTAGACTTAGTTATGGTGATCCTCTTCAATGCCATCCCCCTGGAGAGTACGGACGGGGAGAAATTAGAGAAGTCCCCAAACTGCCACCACCCTGGACTCTGCGTCAACCCGCACCACATCAGCGTCTGCGTCAGAGAACTGGACATGTACCTGGCTAGTTTCATCATTGGTCAGTCAGTCAGTCACGAGATGATGGTGGTGATGTTGATTGTAGAGATTGCGATTATGACATATGTATGTACATGTAGCATGAATACAAACATGCATACATACGTACATACTTACATACTTACACTGATTCATTGATAGCATTTTGTTGTATATACATACACAGTAGAACATTATTATTTCTCTTTTACAAAATTTTTAGTTCAAATTTCATTTTTAAACTTTAAAACTATTGGTAAGGTGGCCATGCTAGATAAGTTACCCGATAACTTGATCCTGTCTTCTTTTCTTATTTTTGAAGCAAATAAAATATATCGTATCGTATCGTATCGTATACGTACATACATATATACAGACTTACGGCGTACATATACTTCCGTACATACAAGCATACGAACGTACATATATGAGACGGTGAAGCTTGCCAAACGTTTAACACGTGACCTAATTTTGATTGGTGGCCAACTTCTGATTCGTTTAAGGAACATCATCACTTACGTTTAACTTTTTCTCTTTCAGCATAATGGCGTTGTTGATGATGATGATGATGTTGTTGATGATGATGATGTTGTTGTTGTTGATTATGATGATGTGGTTGATGATGTTGTTGTTGATGTTGTTGTTGTTGATGATGATGATGATGATGATGATGATGATGTTGTTGATGATGATGTCGTTGTTGTTGTTGTTGTTGATGATGATGATGATGATGTTGTTGATGATGTTGTTGTTGTTGTTGTTGTTGATGACGACGACGATGATGATGATGACGACGATGATGACAAAGACGGCAATGATGATGACGCTGTGATGAGACACAATTACTCACACACAATGACATACAGTAACGTATACAAACATACATACCCACACATACAAAATTACACACACATACACATAATCACACTTATACGCACGCACACAAACACAAACTTCCAAACACACACAAACACACACACACACATACATTCGTCTCCATAAGCAAAGCTTGTAATTACTTCAGATAAGATGGATGCATTATTCATATTCGCAATATAATTTTCTTATTGATCAATATTGATCTACACACTCACGCACACGCACACACGCATACAAACACACACAAAAATGCACACAAACACACACACATATGCACATATACACACATACAAACACATGCATACTGCTAAAAATATCACAGTTTTTAGATTATATATATATATGTATAAATGTTTGTCTAATGCATGTATGTATGTACGTGTATCAGTGTATGTATGTGTGTATATGTATGTGTGTATATGCGTATATACGTGTGTATATTATTTGTTTTGATTAATTATTATTTTACGCTTAATTATTAAAATAACGAAATGTAGAACACATCAAAGAGATAATCATACCATTTGAACTTTTTTGAAACAATATGCTTCGAAATTTTGTTGATGTTGTTATTGTTTTTGTTGTTAGTATTGTTGATGTTGTTGTTATTGAAATTGTTGTTGTTGTTAGTATTGTTGGAATTTTAATATTAATGGGTTTATCGTTTTTGTTATTTTGTTTATTATTTACGAAAGCGCAAAAAAACATCTATTTAAATCTATTCCATTTAACAGCGCCAACCCAAGAATATTGTATATACCAGACTCACCACAACAATAACAACATAATCAGCAACAACAACAACAACAACGTTTGTAATGGTATCCATCACGAAGATCACAACAACAACATCATTATTGACCACAAATGTTAGTTGTTGTTGTTACTGTTGTTATTATTGATGCAGATTTTGTTGCTGTTGTAGTAGTAGCAGCATTGGTAGTAGTAGTAGCAGCAGCAGTAGAAGCAGTGGCAATAGCAGCAGCAGTAGTAGTAGAAATAGTCCTACAAACACACACACACGCACATACACACGCACAGAAAAATAGCAACAACAATAACGATGACCATTGACCAAAGATCATAAATAATTTTTTACGGCCATGTTAACTACATTTAAAAATAAAAATTACTTAATATATTATCGTTCGCGTGTCCTGGAGAATTTATTTAATTAGGAGGAAGATTTGTGCGGCCACTACATTGTTCTTTGTAGTCGCAATTGACGCACCCACACACCCGCACGCACACAAACACACTTACACAAGCAGTTATTTTCGTCGATGTTGTTTTATTCGTTATTTTAATGTTTTAATGTCAATTATTTAACAATCAATATCGAAATTAGTTACATCCATACACACACAGACAGACAGACACACACACACACAGACAGACAGATACACACACACACATCCATATACACAGACAGACAGACACACACACAAACACACACAGAGAAATACATACACACAGAGAAATACATACACACACAAACAAACAACCAAACACACCGAATCACCCAGATAACAGCAGTATGATTGGCAATGATAGTATCATGGTCACAGGGGTTTTTTCAGCTCAAGAGTTACTAAGAGTTACAAGACGTTAGTTGCTATTTAAGTTAATCAAGTACCTTTCTGGATAGTTTTAAATAGTTTAAAATTAATTTTCACGTGTTTTGAAGTAATTTTTAGTAAAATTCACCATTTTAAACTATTTATTTCATAGTAACTTTCTTATATAACCTAGGAAAAATAACAAATTGTCCTATATATAAAATAACGGTTTTGTTAACTTTGTTTGGATTAGAATCAATAACTCAGTCAACTGACGAATTATGCATGGATTTTCACATCAACAACAGCAGCTGCAGCAACAACATCAATAACAACAATACCAACAACATCAGCAGCATAAACACTTCGTTATTTTATGGCGCGCCAAAAACCGAAGATATCGTCTGCGACTATCCGGCTTGCAGTTACAACACCGGTTTAATCGATCCGTCGGTAATTAATTCGTTTTATAATAAATCGGCTTTCCATATTCATCCTCATCAGTTGCAGATTCTTACGTCTCCGAGTTCAAATGTTTGGCATAATGGTTGGTAGGTTGGTAGATTAATTGGTTGACTGGTTGACTGACTGATTGTTTGACTGATTGATTTATTTATCAACCGATTGGTTGATTGAGTGAATGAATGAGTGGTTAGGGTCAACCACACACTTTTTTTCAGAATTGTTGCTGAACGGCAGCAGCAGCAGCAGCAGCAGCATGCAACACTACACAAACGCGATAACGCCACCACTGACAGCCACACCGGCGACAACTTTAAACATCAGAAACGAGGACATTGGCAAATATGCAACTTTCTTCAACAGCTACAACACCTTCGAAACTACTTTCAACCCCAACCAACAACAACAACAGCAACATCATTTGCTTCAACTACAACAACAACAGCAGCTAAATGAACAACAAAAACAAAAAACGAGTTACTACACAACAACAACAGCAACAACGTCGCCAGACAGTATAGAATATAATGCAACAACAACAACACCCACATTGTTGCTGAATTCATGCATGTTACAACAGCAGCAGCAACAACAACAACAACATAATAGTAATAATAGCAACAATAACAGCATGTTTATTTGTTAGTTGAAATTATTAATTTATTTTGCTTAAAAATTTTATTTGCTTATTATATTAATGAACATTTAATGAAAATTATTTAAAAAAAAACATAAAAATCTATTCAGCGTCAGATTCTCCGCCAATCACAACCGACAACGACGATGACGTCACAGCCAATCACGTGACTGACTTTGAGCAGGTTGCTATGGAAACAACGATAACTCAACAGCAACAACAACAACAACAGTTGTTGCTATACCAACAGCAACAACAACAACAACACTTATTAAATTTCACCTTTAAAGATTATCTAGTTAAACCTCATTTCGAAATGGTTGAGAATTACGATGATGACGACGACGCTGATGGCGATGCTAATAATGATGTTCTTCTTGCTGGTGCTCCTCCTGCTGCCGCTCTTGGTGATGGTGATGATGATGAAATCGATGATTGTGATGATGATGATGATGATGATGATGTTGGTGAGAGCCCAGACTGTTGTAAACCGGATAAAAATAACAACAATAGCATCAACAACAACAACAGCAACAACAACAACAGCAACAATTCTGTACCAAACAACAACAAAAACATCAACATCAGGAGTCAAAGTGACTGTTACGTGATTGGAGCTAACAGCGCTCTTGGTGACGTCACTAACGTAATCGAAGTTAGTGTTTTTATATTTTTATCCATCAATTTTTCCCAAACCAAATTTTCAACTAATAGAACCGTTACTAAATCGATACGGCGTAATATAACAAAACGAAACGGTATGATGATGATGATGATGATGGAAAAGAAAAGAACAAAGAGTTGACGTGATATAAGTGGTGTCGATTGCATGGCGAAGCCTTGAGGCACACCAAGGCAATATCTTAAATAACTTCATCCGTCATAAATATGTATGTATGTATGTATGTATGTATGTATGTATGTATGTATGTATGTATGTATGTATGTATGTATGTATGTATGTATGTATGTATGTATGTATGTATGTATGTATGTATGTATGTATGTATGTATGTATGTATGTATGTATGTATGTATGTATGTATGTATGCATGCATGCATGTACGTACGTACGTACGTACGTACGTACGTACGTACGTTTGTTTGTTTGTTTGTTTGTTTGTTTGTTTGTCTGTTTTCATGTACGTACGTGCGTGAAATTATATATGTGTGTATGTGTACGTGTATGTATAACCCCATGTTCACAACTACCAAACAATTATATGCTTACATACAAACATACATACCAATAAATTTACATTTACACACGCATTTACATTTGTACACATACATACATTCACACATACACATACATATTGACATAGACACATACAAATGTACAAATGTATTTTTTATGTTTTGTATCAATGCACTCAAACAGGATTTTGTACCTCTGCAAATATATACACATACATTCGTACGCACATACATGCATACAAACATACAGACAAACACACGCACAAACATACAAACACACGCACAAACATACAAACACAAACCTAAATATACCGTTTTATAAATACTTTTTTATTGATTTGAAATGAAATATTAACTGACACACTTTTATTAATAATTTTTGTTATTATCATTATTATAATTATTAATACAATAATAATAATTGTTGTTATTATTATTATTATTATTTTTGTTGTTGTTTTTATTATTATTTTTCCATCTCTTATGTTAGCCACGCTATGGTATTACGTGTCATGCAAACACGCTCCTTTAAAAATAATAAGAATGCTTTGCTAATATTTTTATCATAGCTTCTATTATTATTATTATTATTATTATTATTATTATTATTATTGTTCTTGTTATTGTTGTTGTTGTGTTGTTGTTCCTTTTACTGTTGCACTCACTTTAGGGATGTTGTTGACGCTTTGATTTGGTTTTCGCCTATGGTTGTTGCTGATGTTGTTGTTGATGTTGTTGTTGTATTTTATTTGTTGTTGATGTTGTGGTTGTTATTGTTGTTGTTGTGGTTGTTTCTCCTTCGATTTTGGGACAATATAAAATTTTTTTTTTCATTTTTTAGGTCAAACCGTTCGCCGACCTCTCGAGCACAGCAACGAGATTCAATAATTTCAAACCCGGCAACAACACTCCCACCACCAACAACAACAATCCCAACAATGCTAAAACTAGTCAAATGACAACAACAACAAAAACAACAACTTCTACAACGAACAACATCATTAAAAATAGCGTTGACACTAATATTAATGTTAGAACGTTTTTTAACAACAATAACCATGCCATCAATAACATCAACATCAACAACAGCATCAACAACAACATCAACAAAATTAATGGCGACAGCTCGAGTATGGTAATTTCAAATAGTGATATTGTTTCAAACAACAACAACGGATGCCACAATAATGATAACGCAACCAAACCTCGAGATACAAACAACAACAACAACAACAACAACAACAACATCACAACTAACTCCTCATTGCAAAACATTTACAGCTCCGTCATTGGTCAGACTGAACCACGCCCATTTTTAAATTTCTTTGCTCCTATTGGTTCGTTGAATCATGATTGATTGCATGATCTGTCATTCGAAATGCGAGTTTGATTGATGTTTGATATATGGAGCAATAAAAATATGTACTAAAAAACTAAATTAGTGTATTTCATGTTCATCTTTATTGTTTGTTTATTGTATTTTTGTTTTAAAAGTGTTTTAATATATATATTTTTCGATTTTTTAAAATAAAAATGGCTTTTTTTCTTCTAAAATGTTGCAGCAACAACGCACGAAAACGGCCCATTGAATGTTGTCACAAAAAATGAATTGGCGAATGACCTAGCGCAATTTCAACAACGACATCATCAACAACATCAACAACAACAACAACTACATCAACAACAGCATCAACAACAAACACTACGAATACAACAACAGCAACAACCTTTTATTCAACACCAACAATGGCCAAACAATAACAACAGCAACAACAATAATAACAACAATGTCAGTTTTCCTACTAATTACATTCACCAACAACAACAACAACATCAACAACAACAACAGTGCAACAACAATCAGCAACAACAACAGTTAATGCACTCGCAAATCGTGTTGAACAATAAAATGCTATCATCATTGTTGTCATCACCGTCATCGTCGTCGTCATCATCATTCTCACCATCATCACCCCCACCACCACCATCATCATCATCTCTCCAAATCTGTCACCCACCAGTCAGCTCATTACCACCGCCACCACCACCACCATCATCATCTTCAGCATCATCATCATCATCAGCAAATTTAATCAGTAGCATTGCAAATGATAACAAAATTACCGGCGCGATGATTAGAGCTGATGACGATATTGCTGATAATGATATCAATGACGACGATGATGATGATGATGGTAATGACGATGACGTTGATGATGATGATGTTAACGACGACGATGACGTCATTATTGGCGATGAGGTGAGCAACTCAAAAAAGTTCGTCAGACTGCGACAAGGAGTGTGGCAATAGTTGGAATGATGATGATGATGATGATAATAATAATAATAATAATTTAAATTTCTGTAAATTATGATGAAAAATATTATAACCCTAACGGTGGTTGCGATTATGAAATAATTTTGGAAACTATTAGTATAGTTATTATTATTGTTGTTAGTATTATTATTATTATTGTTGTTGTTGTTGTTATTATTATCATTGTTATCGTTATGATGATATGGAGGTAATGCGAGTTAGAGAGTAAGAACAAACAATGAACCTGCCAATAACACTTTTCTGTAGGAGAGTTAATGAGTTGAAAAAATTACTCTAGAGAAAGAGAGAGAGAGAGAGAGAGAGAGAGAGAGAGAAGGGGGGAGAAAGAGGTGGAAAATGAAAGAATAATAGAAAGAAAGAAAAAGAGAGAAATATTGTAGAGAAAAATGAAATGGAGAAGGTTAGAAAGGGAG